AGCCTATTTATTCACATGTCGTTAATAGCATTCAATTCCACTGATTTGAAATAATATTTTAATACCAAGAATCCTTTGTTTATTTTACCTTTGAAATTTATTTGAATTTTTTTTAGAATTACGCAATCCCCAGAAATAGCGATTTTCGGTATATTATAAATCAATATACATGTACACTCCTTCGTAAAATAATCAGGTATTTGCATTCATGAGAAAAATATTAATAAGAAGGTGTTAAACAATATAGGTCTCATTAGCTGACACGAATGTCTTTTTAAACATCTCTTATAAACCCCAGAAAGTAGCCCCCTATGCATTGGAAAAAATGAATAGTTCCGGTCTAAAACCTTTATACATTTATTTACAAAGTATATAAAATTTACTAGGCACAGGTACCAGAGTTGTCAAAATGGCCTGAGAGGAAATATAAAAAAAAATTCTGAACAGAAAGGAAAATCCCTTTTCCATGTATGGAACTACTATTGAATAAGTTCATTTTGATTGGTTAGCTATCGGCGTGATACCCTTTGTCGACTTTAAATCTGCCTTGTCGTCGGAATAAAACCAACTTTGAGCTCGAGGTTAAAATAAGTAGAGAAATAAAATGTGAATCGATATATTAAAAAATGACATAATTATGCTTGAAATATGGTAACTTTATATATGTAATTTTTTATTTGATTCGCGGGATAAAAAGTATACGTGTATGTTAATCGGTTAACCAACATGCCATAATCATCTTGCATATACATGTGCATGTACGTGTGCGCGCATGCAGTACGTTAAACGATATACAGTTGATAGTTGATATCATTGTAACTTTTATATTCTAAAATGAAATCCTTCGATGCTTAGCATATTTATAAAAGGTCCCAGAGGAATAAGGCACGAAAAGGGACATGGGGAGCGTTTGGGGAACATCTGTAACGGTCCCCGTTACAATTAGCACTAGTTTACTGATATTCTACATAAGACGTATCGGAAAACATACCAAGTTCATGGTTTTTCCTGTGAAATTATCATTTTGAGATAGTAATGCCACATTTATATGTTAAACATTTAATTACATGTACGTTTTATTTTTCAAATACTTTATTTTACAGACATAAGTTAGATGTGGTCAGTTGTGGTAAGAATACAGCTCGGGTTCAGAAGGCCATCTGCAGTGGATTTTTCCGTAACGCCGCGAAGAAAGATCCTCAGGAGGGATATCGTACCCTGGTAGACAGTCAGGTGGTGTACATACACCCCTCTAGTGCCCTCTTCAACAGACAACCAGACTGGTAAGTTTTGTAGAATTCCACTGTGTGATTGAGATTTGTGAAATGTAGCTGAATATGATTTGAAATGATTTCAATATGTACGTACATGTGTATGTACATGTAACTTGCAAAAATAAAAGTTTATTCAGAGAGTACTTATGAAGTTATTGACAATAAGTGTCAGATTTAATAGCAGCAATATGAAATTTATAATACCTGATATTTACTTAGAGATTAATAGGATACTAAAGAGTCAGTGAATAATTAAAGATATGACTAAGAGAGCAAGATGGACTTTTCAGGGTTTTATATTTGGATGATAATTTATACAGATTGATTTTTAATGTTTAGAGTGAACTCAAATGTATTATTGAAATTTTACAGGGTGATTTACCATGAACTCGTGCTGACAACAAAAGAATACATGAGAGAGGTGACGGCCATTGATCCTAAGTGGCTTGTGGAATTCGCTCCGAAGTTTTTCCGCTTCAGTGACCCGACAAAACTCAGCAAACAGAAAAAACAGCAGAAAATCGAGCCATTGTACAACAAATACGAAGATCCGAATTCCTGGAGAATCTCACGAGCTTTCAAGAAAGTCCACACAAAAGTTACATTCTAGATTTATTTGCCAACAGTCTGTTTCTTATTGAGTCTTAGTTACGTGAGAAAAAGTGCTTGTTTTATACAGTCAACCCATGTCAATGTATATTGTTTAAATGTCTCAAAATTTGAACAGCTTTTAAAATCTTGCATATTTGTTATATACTTTAATGTCTTCAAAAAGAGAAGTGAATTTGAAAAAGGACAATATACTTATAAAGTTTATAGATACTGTACATGTATTGACTTTCTTACCACTTTGCATTGGGATAAATAACTTTTTGCAGATTAATGATCAGAATATTTTTATTTTCATGGTAAGTTAGGATAAGATTAAATGGATCTTTTATACTTTTATGAATTTGGAAACCTAAAATAAGGTCATAGAAAAAAAGAGCCATTTCTGAACACTTGAAAATTTTTATATAGACATTGATCTTGTGAAATATTACATTGTACATTAACAAGTATGGACTGAATTATGTACTTACATGTATGTGAAATGATAAAATTATAAATGTTCCATTTTAAAACAAATGTATTGTGAATATTTTTTTTAACTTGATGATATATTTCACTCTCTACCAGTAACCCATCGTCGCAAACCACGGCCATAATGTACGATCCTCTCCCATTCTGGCCGTGGTTGCATGAGGCGAGAATATCTCGTAGCTCATTAAAAGTATTGACCAATGCGAGTAAACCATAGTCGGAAATTGACCTTTCATGCGACCTTTCAATATCCAATCACAGTGTACGAAATACTGCTGATGTAAGTTGTTGATTTCAATTGCGATGGAAACAAAACTTGTCATTGACTGAATATGACATCACAATAGAGAGGCGTAAATATTCAAGATTACGACACTTTCTGTGATCAAGCAGCCACGGGTAGGAGAGAGCTATATGCGGATTCCGGACCATGGCTTGAGACGATGCCAGTAACCTTCATCTCATACACTCACCTCTGTCCATAGCTTACCATTATCAAAATGATTTAGCTGTACTCCAGCATGCTAGAGGTTCACAGCGAGATACTTTGACTTGGCGCCACAGTATTTATATAAGGAGAGTAGAGATGTTAACCAAGGCTCTTACTTGTAGGAGTAATTAAGCAGGTCTGGAGATATTGGCTAGTTGATTCATAAGGAACTATTAAGTTTTATTTGAAATAATCCTTGGAATATCCTTTTACTTCATGTCAGAAATCTTGACATGCATGAGCCCATTGCAGAGGTGAAGGAGAGAGAGAGAGAGCAGCAGAAGATTTCTGCAAGAGTGATTGGATGTACCGTCAAACCTCATCATCTCAAGCTTCGAGAAACGGAGAATTTTTTTTAAAGATATCCTAGGAATTGAGACATAGAAGATAAAATAATTAAAGAATAAGTGATTGGGACTCCAAAATCATTTATCTATTCATGGTCTTGAAGATGTTAATGTTCGACTGTATTTTATGCAAATGGCTTTATTTCCCGTTTTATTTTTAAAGTATAAGTATACAATAATAAATGTACCAAAAATTGAAGGACCATGATCAGAATTTTAAGCATTGGAGTTTTATCTGTTCAGTATATAAAGTAGGTTAAGTTAAAGTTAAAGGATATAATTTGCAATATGACTGCAGTTTTCACTCACCAGTGAATTTATTCATTTATTAAATTTTGCTTCGTTAGGATATTTATTAGAACAACTAAAAGACAATTAGAGAAATATGCTTTTAGCCTTAAAATGCTTCAATCGAAGTATTGCATCAAATCCAAAATTAATGGAAATTTAGTTGCACGATCTATTCATACAAGTTTATTCCTAAGTATAACTTAACTAGCACCTTCAAACCGGAAGTAAGACATTGCTTTCGATTGCAGCATGAGTAGCATGCCTTGAAAGTAAAAGATATTCAATTTGTTGAATGACATTGTCAGTAAATATACAGACGAAGTTCGTCGCTCCTTAAAGACCTGCTTCTAAACGAAAACAGTTATTGTGCACAGCTCTGAAATAAATCTAGACTTCCAGGACCACAACAGCTGCATAAGGTAAGCAGTCTAATTGTCCCCCTTTCGCGAAAGCCAGGATGCATTAAATCTCATTCGTCTATCAGTCTCACAAAAACTTTCATCTTGGTCATAATTTTTGAATGAGAATATTTCACATGCATACATGTACAAATCACATGCTTACATGTACATTACCCAGTACCTGTGACCAGGGACCGCCGGGACCTATATTTACGTCCATGCTGCGACAAGAATTTTCCAAATTTACTGATTTTAGACCCCGTAACCTTGACCTTGAAGTTTGACGTCCTAAAAAAATTAAACTTCGAATTGGTCATAACTTTTGAGAGAGAAAAGCTGGGGATTTTATATTACACATGTGTATATTACCTATGACAGATATTTCTGAATACACTATGAATGATTTTTGACCCCATGGCCTTGACTTTGAAGTTCACTGTGATCTACTTCACAAAAATGTTCTCTTTCCTTTAGGGCTGTCACGGGTACCCGTAATAACCCGGAACAGTGGAACGATTAATTCGGGTCAGGTTCGGTTCCGTTTTTCCGGAATCCGGTTCGGTTCCAATTTGTACAATACCATAAAAATGGCATCTAAAATGAAAGGTTCATTAGTATATTACCATTATCATGATGGTAAATGTGATTTGAATCATTTGGTTCAATTATTTTTCTAGTTAGGAAACTTCTTTAAATCAGTCATTATGTTGCTGTTTCTTAGTTTTTGAAAAAAAATTAAAAAATTTTGTTGAATATAATTCAAATCATGAGTTTTTATTCTATTAAAAACCCAAACTGAAAAACTTGAAACCAAACCTTAAAAATTTGGAACTGACACGAAAAATTATGGAACTGTGACAGCCCTACTTTCCTTTTAACTTTTGATTTAGAAGGTTTTCCTATTTGATATGTGCATTATAGTGGCAAGATATTTATGAGCATGCTATGATTTTTAACCCCTTGACCTTCATGTTTGACCTTATTTTCTTTAAATTTTTACATTCAATTTGGTAATTACTTTTCATTTACATATGATAGGGCATTCATATTTGACACAATTTGTCATAAACAATGGAATCACATTCACCAAGACACCAAAAGCTTGGGACCACAATTCTTTGAATTGCTTGTTTGAAGTCATATCTGCCACAGATATTATGATGTTATGCTACCAAACACAGATATTAATCACACTATCTTAATATTTTATCATATAAAATGTAGAATTCCTGCACTTTAGGAAAATATTTTCACTTCAAGAAAAGGAATGGCACTTGTAGAAACAGACACAGAGAAAGTTGTCATTGAAGACGATAAAGAGGGAAAGAACATTACAGAGGAACAGATTAAAAGTATGGAAGTTGACAACAAAGCCAATACAACAATGAATGACAACAAGCAGAATGAAGATGCCAAACAAGAATCCACAGAGCCTGCAGGGAGAGTGGAAAAGCCTGGTTTCGCAAGGATCAAGGCAGAGTAATATTTTTTATTATCTATATAATTTCTAAAATAATAACAAATTCAGTAACATGGGGATTAATTCCTAATTGTACAAAACTGATACCAGTTTCCAGTGAAGAACACATATTTAACATTGTTTGAAAAGTCATTTATTTTATGGTAGATCCATAGTACCATGTTTCAGGGTTTATTTTACTATGTCTGTATATTTTTTTATTGAATTTAGGTATGTTCTTGTCAACCATAAACCGGAGTTGGTGACAGAATATATATCCAAGGAAACTAAAGAACAACTAGAGCAAGGGCAAAAACGTAAGTCATGTAAAAACGTAAGTCTTATAGAAAGGTAAGTCATGTAAAAATGCAAGTCATGTAAAAATGCAAGTCATGTAAAACTCATTACAGATGTATGAATATGTCTTCTTTAAAAGAGGGAATTGGAAATCAACTGAATTTCATGATGTTTTTCATGAAGGTATTGTGTAGGTAATCAGATTCAAAGAGGACAACCTGTGTGAAATTAAAACCATGATGCATTAAATTATATTCTATGTACATTGTATTTGAACTTCATTATCTCTAAAATACAGTATCTCAAATACCATTATATAAATATTGCATGTAGTTGAGTGTAACATTGAAAATTTTCACCCCAAGAAAACCATTATCAACCGAGGCTCAGCCGAGGTTGACAATGGTTTTCGAGGGTTAAAAATTTTCAATGTTACACTCAACTACATGCAATATTTATTATATTATACTGAATGTTTTATACAAATACATATTACAGTGAACCGTGTGCGCATAAATTCCGCGCAGTCGCTATTTTTTGGAATACTACTCGTCGTCAAGCAATGTTGACTGTTGCTACGCAGGAGGGCGTGGCTTCAATATTCAGCGGGTAGTAGTGTTTTTTATCAAATGTTTCTCGACGAATCAGATTCAAATAATTTACATGAAAGTATAATATAGATATATATACTGTATACAGGGAAATTTTCGCCCCCGCTTAATTTTCGCCCCTTTTGCCCTTGTCACAAGAGGGTGAATTTAAAAGGGGGAGAATTCAAAGAACACAGTGTAAATTCTTAAACAGAAGTGGAAATGGACGAATATAAAATGAGGTAAAATTTTTAGCAAGTGTAAAAGGGCGAAAATAACATGGGGCGAAAATAACCCTGTATACAGTAGAAGTGATTTCGAGTGCCAACCACTTTTTCCTTTTCTTTTACTTCTATATCTTTAATCCTTTGATATAATTTTTCTCACCCCCATCAATGATATGTGATAAAATCTGACTGTGTTTTAAAATATGCTATAGGATTTTGAAGTGTTGTTTATAATTTTTTTAACTTTAAGACAGTGATTTACTACGGACTTTAATGTGTGTGTGTGTTCTATAGGTAAACAAGAAGAAAACGAAGGACAACCCAAGAAAAAAATGAAGGTGAAGGGGCGTAATAAACAACGTCCAGTGACCCATATAAAACCGAAGGACAAGTTATGCCCCACCATATCTAAGGAAAAAGAGTGTAGCTTTGGAGAGAAATGCAAGTTTTCACATGATATAAAAACCTTCATGGAGTCAAAACCCAAAGACATTGGCCCCAATTGTTATATGTTTGAGACGTACGGGAAATGTCCATATGGGATAGCATGTCGATATGGTAGCAAGCACATATCTGAGGATTACAAGAATATAATCAATGAAGAATTGTACAAGGAGAAATCTAAGGTATGTGTTATGTATCTTTATTCATTGATCCTGTTGATCCTAATGTATTCTGTTACATTATCTAAGGAATAAGTGACTCTATTTTTTGGTGTAAATGAGGTTAGAATATTTCATTTTCCTGTAGATACATTTCCCCTATAAACCATTTCTTTTGCTCTTTTTCATCTCAGCAATAAAAGATTTGGGCGCAGATAAGATTCAGACAATTTTTTTTCCAGAATATTTACTTTCAAATTTCACTAGTTAAATTTATTCAAATCATATAGATATACTTGTATGTCAGAAATGACATTCTTTAATCTTGAATGATTCAAAAGTTACAGTAACTGTAAATCAACTATTATTAACTTCATCCTTTAATTGTGATTCATCAGTTTGAATTCAATCCAAAACATTGCTTTACAAATACTAACTAAAGCAAAAATAAGGTTCCTGAGTTAGAGTAGGTGGCAAAACTCGCGGATATTTCTCACACGCAAATAATACCGGTAGTTGGTTTACAGTTTGTCTTATTTTAAAGGTGAAAACTGTCCTGAACACCCTGTCCAAAGATCTCCAGGTTACTTTGTGGAAGAAGAGATATAATTTTGAGAAGGCCAATGAAATTGTCAAACAGGTGCAGAAAAGGGCCCAGGAGAAACACGACACCTTCTCTAAACTGTGTGCTGCCAAACAGGAGAGCAAGGAGTCAAAGAATGCTGAGGAAGCCTCTAGTACTACTGCAGGTATGTGTCTGATGTTTTTAGCTTTACATGTTGTACACATTTTGTATGTTGTCCTCCTGGAGCAGTGGTAAGAGCATTTGCTGTAGAGTCTTGAAGTAAGGAGTTAACTATGCGGAAATCTATCTTATTGTATACTGCTATACAAACAAAAACAGTGTCACAGGGCTGCAAAAAAAAAAACCTTATTTGGTAAATTGACCCCCAACTTTACAGTTTTATTAGTTCAATTACTGTACATTCCTTATTTGCACAAGTACTTATAATCTTGAAATGGCTCTTTAACATCAAATCGCAAGAACAATAATTCATGAGTGGATGGTTGATCAAGAGATTTTACATTGATTTAGGCACCATAACAATAAAATAATGCAATAATTAATTCCTCATGTATATTTGGGAATCTACAGTATTAAGAATTAGAACTTAGATTCATGTTTATTTACAAAAGCTACACATTGGTTTTCTATGTTGAATATGATTAATGTAAAATGCTAAATGGATGTATAATTGAACTTTAACAGTTTTGATTTTGAGATTTCTGTAATTATTTCCAGAGATTAGGGATGAATCAGAGGGGGTGATCAAACTTCGAGCTCAAGAAACCAAAAAGGTACTGTAGGTCATGACCTTTTTCATGCAATATGATTTACACAACAGGAGGGTTTAGAGATTGCTTAAGCTTTAATATGTAATTTGATTCAGTTTTTTATGTATTCAAGCAATGTAAGTTTTAAAATTTTTCTCGATTATCAATTTTGAAAAAAAAAGTTTTTTGGTCTATACTTTATCCATTTTGTTTGATAATTCAGATAGATTTCAGCTCAAAGAACTACCTGGCTCCACTCACTACAGTAAGTTGTCTTGACCACTTTAAATTTAAGTCATCTAGACTATGGTAAATTTAAGTTGTTTACACCATGGTAAATTTGAATTTTCTAGAACTTATCTTTTAATCCATGATAAATTCAAATTCAAGTTAAAAATACATTATTCAGTATATTTTGCTATATATAGTCATCACTGTCTACATCTGACCCTGTTTAGGTGGGTAACTTCCCCTTTCGGAGGATCTGTAAGGCCTATGGAGCGGACATCACCTGTAGTGAGATGGCAATGTCCTTAAACCTTCTTCAAGGTCAGGCCTCCGAGTGGGCATTGTTAAAGAGGCATGAAAGTGAGGATTTGTTTGGGGTTCAGGTAAGAAAATTATGCCAATGACGTTTTTTCAATTACATGCATGACTGATACAGATTTTTTTCTCTGGCTGGGAAATACATGTACCATGGAAAAAAGATTTATACATGTGACTGTACAATGCACTTTCATTACCAGTGTTGTAGATTATCTTTGTTTATTGTTTAACAGACCATTGCTTTTTAGCTCACCTGAGCCGAAGGCTCAAGTGAGCTTTTCTGATCACATTTTGTCCGTCGTCCGTCCGTCTGTCTGTGTGTCTGTCCGTGTTTACGAGAGTGCATTTATTGGGTATTTTTCATGTCAAGATTGTACTTATTGGGTACTTTTTGCTTATTGGGTATACCCAATAAGAAGTGTTGCTGAATATGCTTAAAACACCCTAATTGGGTATTTGCAGGTTAGTACCCAACAAAACTTGGACACGACGATTTGTCCAAAAAAGTGTCCAAAAAAGTTGCTTTCACGGACGCACCGTGTTTTGTTGTTTCAGTTTTACATTCGGAACTCTAAATTCTCGAGAGTTCCGAAAATCAACTTCCGTTGATCCTGATCATAACAACGTTTGTTTTCATGGAAAAAAAATATGGCGACTAAGAAACACTTAATGTCAACAAGATTTTCTGATTGAAAAGAGAAAAGGTAAGTTTATTCGATTAATATTAACCATTGCTGGGTTCCTATTTAAGGAAAATAGATTTCAATGTAATTTTGAAAACAATTGTGCACAAAATTAAAATAGATGTATCGGAACAATTAATCCTAAGTTGCACTTGTTTGTATTTTGAATTTTCTCTGTCTTTTTAACTCTCTTGAGGGCGAGAAGTATTTAGTAAATGATCGTATATTGTTAGATAATCTTAAATAAATCGAAAGTGTTTATTATTTAATTTCATATCATAACCAACTAAGTATGTTCTGACAATGTATATTGGAAAGGGAAATGAAAATTTTAACAATCGTGTGTTCATAAATCAACTGTAAATTATCGGTTCATGTACAGTATTGCAATCGCAAAGTGAGCTGAGATGATGATAAATGGGATAATTGACAACAACTAAATAACTGTATGTAAGTTTATCTCATCTGATATGTAACTTAAGAGATTCATTGTATTACTGAAAAACTTTCAGTCAAAACAGTGCTTCTTTCTGTCTTTGATGTTAAATCTAGACCCTAAAAAAGGCATGGTAATCAAGGAATCAAAAGGGCACTTTGTGTCGCGACAGGATCTCACGAGGGCACTTTGAAAACAAATGTTAATGTCATTGAAATTATATTAACATTTTTTAATTTTTACATACTTTAACATGTTTAATTACTTTTAATATCCTTTCATATTGAAATCTTTATTTAAAACAAGTACTAGTAATTTAAAGATAAATTCATATATCTGTGTTCCATTCTTTTTTTAAACAATGTTTTAATCACTGATTCAGAAACAAAAAGAATATAAAAAAGACATTTACATCTAATTTCTTCAATAAAAAAAGTAGTAAGGTTACACTTGAGAAAGTAATGGTATTAATCTAGCTGAAACAGGTGCAAAAATCATTAAAGTTTGGAGGTATGATTGTTTTTTTTACCTGCTTGGACTGTTATTTGTTTACAAGTACAGTCAATTTAAACATTAAAGGAAAATACTTTTTTTCAGGGAAGGGGGGATGGGCATTTTGAAAAATACATGTAGAGACCATTCTCTTTACTTGGAAAATATTCTACCAACATGATCATGTGAAAACTGGTCTTACTGCCATGCATAATTTGTTTAAAAAAAACAACTCTGCCTTTAATTAGAAACTTTGACCCTCAGCTTGTCAAATGTATCAGTTCAATCAAAGAAACTAACTTAGTTTGTTGTTTTTAAGCCTTTTTATCACATTACATTCAGTTTTTTGGTACACTGTAAGTATTTTATTCAGATAAAATATCCGTTTTTTCTTCAAGTTGTACTATGTGTTTTATTCTACTTTCGGTTTATAAAAAACGATCCTGATTTTCATTAGTTAATAATTTATCTTTGGTCTTGGGCTAATTCTTGCATAATCAATGCAATCAAATGACAGTTTCTCAAGTTAAATCCTCTACCCAGACAACCTGAGGCATGTTAATTAGCCAGGTGGCTGTGTGCGTGCGTTCAAGCGTGAAGTGATTTCCTGTCGTTGTTTAAATAAAGGGATTATCAGCATGCACTTAATAAACAGAACAGCAAAGGAATATTGCATAAACTGGGCATATTTGGCTTAGGAAATAAGGGCATGGCGCTGGAAAAAAGGGCATGGCGCCGAGAAAAAAGAGCATGGCGCCGCGCTTTATTTTGATTTTTTTTTTAAATTATTGTTTTTGTCATTTGTTTTAATTAATTTAAAACAATACTGAAATTGATATAGGGCTACTATAACTATTTCACATGATGGGTGTGTAATTAGCATCGCGCTACACCCGGAGCTTCCATTTTTGAGGATGGGGCTAGTGGTTTTTTGCGCTAAATTCCCTAATATGGAAATATTCCAGACAGCATGCTCATATTATCCATAAATCTCCACAACTGCATCCATTTTGCAGTACTACAAGACTGATTACTTAAAAACGATCCTTATTTCCTAATTTGAATTCCCCCCTTTCTTTTTAGCTCACCTGAGCCGAAGGCTCAAGTGAGCTTTTCTGATCAAAATGTCGTTTTTGTTGTCATGTTCGTTTTCACAATTGCCAATTTAAAACAAATATTCTTGGGTGAAATTGATATAGGGAAAAATTAATGGCATTTTTAAAAAATCTTCTTCTCAAGAACCACTTAGCCAGGAAAGATGAAACTCATTTGGAATCATCCTCAGGTAGTGTAGATTCAAGTTTGTTCAAATCATGACCCCTGGGGGTAGGGTGGGGCCAAAATGGACGATCAAAATTTTACATAGGAATATATAGGGAAAATCTTTAAAAATCTTCTTCTCAAGAACCACTTGGCCAGGAAAGATTAAACTCATGTGGAATCATCCTCAGGTAGTGTAGATTCAACAAATCCGGGGGTAGGGTGGGGCCAAAATGGCCGATCAAAGTTTTACATAGGAATATATAGGAAAAATCTTTAAAAATCAAGAACCACATGGCCAGAAAAGATGAAAATCATGTGGAATCATCCTCAGGTAGTGTAGATTCAAGTTTGTTTAAATCATGACCCCCGGGGGTAGGGTGGGGCCATATTGTCCGTTCTAAGTTTTAGATATGAATATATATGGAAAATCTTTAAAAATCTTCTTCTCAAGAACCACATGGCCAGCATGGCTCATATTATCCATAAATCTCAAAGTTTTACATAGAATATATAGGGAAAATCTTTAAAAATCTTCCATTTTGTTAGTAGACAAGTTTGTTCAGTTTTAGATAGGGAAACCTTTTAAAATTTACTTAAAAACGATCTTTTATTCTAGTTTGTTAATATGATGAATGCCCCCCCGATCCTCAGGTGAGCGCTGTGGCCCCTGGGCCTCTTGTGTTTAATATAGCAATATTTGCTTGTACATATATGCCTCACAGATATCTAATTATTAAATTATATACATTCACTCAATAAACTCAATGATAAGTGTCATGCAATTATGTAGCGTTTTTTAAAGCCATATATGGCGTAACTGATCAAAAATATATTTTTGAAAAATACAAAATTAAGTAAAGAAATATAGTTAATACATTTAAATTAAAGCTTTTCATACACGGAGCATGGAGAACACCTCGTTTTATCTAATAATACGATTTTATCTTCTCTGTAATGTGTTATTTAAATCTTTTGTATTTTCTTCCAAGTCGGAGAAAATTCCGAGAATCCAAATTAAATTTTGATATCTTTATAACGCAATTGACTTAGATTTTGTAATTTACGGAAAATTTCTATCTTTATCATGTTTATATAAAGTAATGATACAAATAATAAGTTCTTATAATTTTAGTTTAATAATTTTCATTGTACATACGCCATATATGGCTTTAAATGGTTCAAGATGAAAACAAAATGATTTTTGCTTCGTTTTAATTAGACGAACTAGTGAATGACCAGAAAAGGAATATTTAAAATCTTTTTTTCATTTTTTTAAATCATTAATTTATATATGATTAAATTTTACTAGCGAAAATTAAATTAAACTTTAATTTTAAAAAGAATCATCTGTAGTTAATACCCTGACTTTTTTCACGATGAACTTTTATTCAATGTTACTTTTTAATTTTTTCCTCTATATTTGGGCTTGTCACGTTTTACTTGGGGATAGTAACTTTATTGCCACCAAGCTGTGGATTACATGTAGTACTTGATTTCCTTTATTGCACAGCAATGACTATGGTTTAATAACACAAAAAGCTAATGGGTTTACCTATGTGAATTTATATGATTAATGCTTACTTGTGATTTTAGGATAACTGGAGATAATGATTCCTTTTTTTCCATTGTTATTACATAAATATTTTCCTAAGTATTATGTTACAATAAATTGGTTTAGATTTTTTTTTATAAAAGTAATCAATAATTAAAATGGAAATTAAAACCATAATCATGTTCATTGAGGATTTTCAATATGTAACAGGTCAAACAGGAACTTCAATTGTGAACATTGCAGAGAACACACTCATCAGAAGATGACCTTCAGAAATAGGACAATTGTAAGTAATCAGTAAAATGAACAGGAATACTTCATGCCAACCATAAGATTTTTAGAGACATTTTCGCTTCTTAAATTAGATAGAGGGAAAAACTTGTACATGCTACATAACTACTAGGCAATCAACCTTTAACTGCAGGAAAGCTTTTGGTATGTGCAATACAGCTACATAAAACCTCTTTAGTATTCATGTTAAGTTTGAGAAAGTACCTTAGTATTTTTTCTAGTGTTTGCCAACATTTTCATGCACACTGTTTGCTTGTTTGTACTATCATTTTATTTTAAATTCTTCAGATGCCCTTTACCTTTGCCAGTTTAGAATCATTTGTTTTAAGGGCATCTGAGGGTTGGTTC